GTTGTGACGGGCAGGCTGATGCTTTGGGTGATGAGAGCATCCCGCTCATAGTCATAACGCTGGCTAAAGCAAGACTAGTACCTAAACCCTAAACCGAAATCCTAAACAGAACTCTTGCAGCTACGATTGGCAAGGGTCGTGCTGAGCTGAGTCCTGTTCCGAGGATGTGAACCCATCGCTGATGCTCCTCATGGTCTTTGCAGAGTGTTTCGCCTTTCGGACTACTCAGCTTCCTTGCCCTTTTGTTCAGGGTTTGGTATTCAAGGTTTCGGATTTGGGGTTTGGGGTTTACCGGTTAAAATTTAGGCAGGGTCTAGTAAGACAACAGTTGCAGGTTTAGGAAGCTTTTCGAGGGTGCCTGAGGCCATGGTAAGGAGTCGGCCCTGGAGTTGAGGGCTGGGTAGTAGCAGGTCACACTATTCCTTGACGTTCCTGATTGTGTTGATACTAAGTTATGCTTCATACCCTGCCCAAAAATAATTAAGGCATCCCCGCAAAAAAAGTATCATCGTCGCGACTATGACTATGCCCCTTCTGATGCCCCTCTCCTCTTCGATATGGGTTCCAGACTATGAGCGATGCCCGGATACCCGCTCCCGGCACTCCGTTGCACCTTAACCCAGGCTGGTAAGACCCTCAAGCCCTGACCCTAAACCCTAAACCCCTAAACCCTAAACCCTAAACGACCGTTCCGAAGCAACTCGTCATCTCCTGCGAGGTCGGTTTCCTAGCCACGGTGAACATCCTTTTCTTGGGCTTCCACGGGTGCCTCGCCCCAGCTTAGAGTTTTGGGGCTCCGGGGTTCGAAGCCTCGGATGTCGGGGTTTGAGATTCAGGGTGAGCCGCCCCCCGGTTCCCAGAATGAAAGACTTTGCTCCGTGGTTTTCAAGCTTGAAGTTCGCACTCTGCCGTTGCTGCGAACGTGAGGCATAATCAGAGCCTCCACAGTGGGTCATGCTTTATGACCCCTCTCAACTGTTAAGATGCGCAAGACCTCACGCCCGAGTCCAAACACATAAATGATTGTACCGCAGCTGCGACTGTGACTGCCCTTCTTTCCAATGCAGGTGGCTAACGGTGAAAGCCATGACCACCCTCGAGTTCTGTGAGAAGTCCATGAAGACACGGTGGCGGCAGATGTTGTCAACAGCAGTCAAGGTTTTGGGCTGTGGTGATTTCTAGTTTGAGGGATTCGGACTCTGGTGCAGTGCGATGCCCGAGTGCAAGCTTTTGGAATGTGGAAGCAAACGTTCGGGATGTGGGGGTTCTATTATAGAGGTCTAGCCAGTTCGGGTGGAAGATGCTGCAGTCATGTAAGGCCAGTAAGTGCAGAATGTTTTTAATTGCTCGGGCTCCTTTGTTGGACCTAAGCAACGATGGTGCTCCAGAGCTTCGCAACCCCAACGGCAATAGTCAATCGTCAAGGTAAGTAGAGTTGTACGGAATGGCTTACCCCCCAAGTCATGCGCTTTTACCCAGTTCCCCTGGTCTCCCAACAACTCCAGCATACTGGACCCCAAAGCCTGCTCTAATTGTTAAGGCCCCTATAGAAAGGTTCGAGGGCTTCTGGCACCAAGGACGGCCAGCTACGACTCCTCCATCTACTCTCGTGTGCCTTTTGCAGATCTTTTGGTGTCGGCGCGCATCAGGGTTGAAGTTTTGGAGGTTCAGCGCTCTAGGACTCGTTGTTTTGGGGCTTGGGGCCGTATGTGCAGTTCCATCCGAAACCTGAAACCCGCAGCCTGAGCCAAGCCCTACACCCTACGATCCTCAAACCCGCCTCAGGCCCTATCCCCTGAGTCCCAAAGCCAAAACCCCTGAGACCCAAGGCCTTCGATCAAAGCCCGAAGGTCCCAGACCAAGACCGTCACTAAGACCGGAAATCCCAAAACCCCAAAGCGCAAAAACTAAAACCCTACACCCTGCACCGCTAAACCCAAAACGCCAGAACGCCAAAACGCCCCAAGGCCCAAGCCCTCAACCTCAAATTTCTCGCCACCAGGGCGTCTACGACAACATCTGTGCAGTGCTGGGGCCGAACCCTCTGCTTTGGCTGCTACCATGTGCCTCGGTTTATTGGGGGTTTTTGGGTTCAGGATTTGTAAGAACTTTGAGCTGTAGAAAGCTTGTTCAGGATTCCTAAGAACTTTGAGGTGTAGAAAGCTTGTTTTTCTTCGGTTTTGGGGCTCAGGGGTTTGGAGTCGTCGGGTTCATGGGCCTTTCGGGTTTGGAGGCTGGGGCGTTTAGGGACTGGAGCGTTGAACCCTTGTACAACTGCAGCTTCAGGTTTTCATGTTTTGGGAGCCTCAAGTTCACTGCTCTCATAGTTTCTGAAATGCGCGACAATGGTAGTGGATGTGCTGGCCGCTGTTGTCGTGGTGGTGGTCGCCTGACTGACAGCGCCAGTTCGTTCCAACAACTAACTTCATCGGCTGCAGTTGCAACGGCTGTTTGCTGCTGATGCTGCAGTGGCTGTCCTGGCAGTTGTGGTTGTTGACACTGGAAGCAATTGTGATGATGGTGATGATATTTGTAGTTCTGTGGGCTGTGTTGTGTGTGGTTCGCCGGCGGCCGGTGAGCTGGTTAGCTGAAGATTGGTTGCCTGTTGGTTGGGAGATCGCGCTTCGTGCTTGTCTGCTTGGTTGGCTGTTGGCTGATTCTTGTTGTAGTGATGTTTGATTGTCGTTTGCGGTTGGTTGGGGTCGTTGACTGGTTGGTTGCTTGCTTATTGACGGTTGGTGGTCCGTTGATTGCTCGCATTTGTATACCCTTTCGTCTGTACATTTCATGTCTCTATCTCTCTCTGTTTGTGTCGCTGGGTTTGGTTGTCTGACTGTCCGGCGCCACATCGACTTGGATTTGTTTTATTCTTCCTTCTACTCAACAGTTTTCGTTGGTATTGACAGTGTAGTTGCAGTCGCAATTGCATTTTCAGTTTTTCCTGTTTCTTCTTCTTGCTGCTACTGTTGCTTTACGGCTGCACCCGTTGCGGCTGCGTGCTGCTGTTGTTGTTGCTGTTGCAGCTGGTGCTTCTTCTGCCGTCGCTGTCCGTCTGCGGTCTTCCCGGCATGTAGGAACACATACTCCCCATGGGAAGAAAGTCGCACAGAACCTCCAACAACAGACAACAACCCTCCACCCCTTGGTGCGCAGTATGGTATACTATGATATAATATAGTCGATTGAAGTATACTACAATATAGTATAGTACATGATAGCATATCATCACCTACTATAGTATATTATAGTATGTTATTATAGTAACATTATAGTATAATATAGTATAATACCTTTTAGTATGTTATAGCGGCCCAGGTAGCCTTCCGAAAGGTGATGGCTTGACGTGGAAGTCCTAGGTGTGGGAGCTTAGGGGGCCTAGGGCCTCTAGGGTTTCATGGTTTTGGGGTTCTAGGGTTTCATGGTTTTGGGTTCTACGATTCTAGGGTTTCTGGGTCTCGGGTTGCAAGTTTGTAGAGTTTGGGTTTAGGGGGTTTTAGGAGGATTTGTTTTAGCTCTCAGAAGCCCTCAAGGGGCTCAGGGATAGGGGCTCCTTAGGGTCCCAAGCCGCTGCGTCGGGGATTTGGGGTGTCATTTCGTAAGCCTGTCGTTCCAGAGCATCAAACACCCTACACCCTAAACCAAGTTTCCATGATTGAATCCGAAGCCATCAGCAAGCCTCGGCGGCTACTGCGGCTTGTGCCCTAGGGATTTCCACCCTTGTCCGCGTGAGTCAGCGGTTTGCAAGATGAGGCGGGCGATCGCGCAGCAAAAGGGCAGTTCTGCTTTCGCAGGAGTTTGCTGCGGACAGGAAGCCCAAAGGGGATCCCTGATAAGAACAGGAATGAGCAAGCATGTCTGAGACGACATATGTACATATATGTGTTATGTATATATATATATATATATATATATATATGCATGCATTTGTATGGATGTATATGTATAATGGTATTTATGCATATAACCTATACATATACATATATATATATATATATGTGTACATATACATATATATATATATATACACACACTTATGTATATGTTGACATGTGTCGTTATATACATACATACATACATACATATATATATATATATATATATATATATGTATCCATATATTTATAACAACTAGATCCGTTTATGTGTGCATATGTGGAAACGCACATGTATATAATACATATATATATAGATATATGCGTGTGTGTGTCTGTAGATGCACACACACACACACATGCTGCAGCCTTGCCCTAGCCTCAAAATCCGCTTTGGGAGCAGAGCTTAGGGTTGTTAAAGGGTTTCGTTCTTGGTGCTTTCGGGGTGTGTGAGTTGGAGATGCAAGCTTGAGGCTTTAACTAGGGGCAAGGCGCCCAGAGTTTTGTTAGGGAATCCAGTGTTCAAGGTTGGTTAATGCTGGATTTGCCGAGCCCCTGCAGCCTCAACCCGAGTTTCTGGTCTCTCATATAGGGGCTTCAGTAATTACCTATACTATTTTGGGGGTTCCTTATTATAGCTATAGTACAATGGGCACCGACACCCTACTCTAATTATCAAGGTCCCTATATTAATGGTGGTGCGACTTCTTGGATTTCCTACCCTACAGAGGTTTTGAGAGGCTCTTACGCCAAATGGTTATGCTTTGTCAGCAAGTTGCTGGAAAGTTAAACTCGCTCAGCTAGAGCTGCCCTGAAAGCCCTGAACCCTGAACCTTAAGGCCTCCCCAAAAAAAAGAACCTTCAAGCCCAAACCCCAGGCCCGAAACCTTAAGCCAGAAGCCTAAACCCTAAACCCTCCGAAGCTCGAACTGCGAAGCGCCACTGAGCCCCGAAGCCTTTCAGCCCTGCCTCCGATTCCAAGCCCCGAACACAGAGTGTGTTTAGTCTTTTGTGATGAAAGTATTGTTTTTTTTTGGGTGTTGGGTTTACTGTAGCATCCTGTACTCCAAACCCCAGTCCATTTTTAAGGCCCCTATATCAGCCCAATCGTCCGAAATCCTCTCCCAG